TTGGTATATTTTCTATTAAAATTTCTTTATCCAAATAATGTATTTAATTTAATAAAATAATGTATTTATCAATTATTTGTCTCAAATTCTCAAATTCTATAATCATCACAAATGAAATAAAAATAAATTAGAGGTTATAAAAAATAAAATCACATAAAATTTAAAGATTCTATATTAAATACCTGTTATCTGTAAAGTGTATTTATGCCATCAACGATAATATTTTAAAAATTTCATAAATTACACGATTATATACGACCAAATATTAGAAAAACATTGAATCTTCATTTACATTTAATGAAAACTATTTTAGTCAAAATGAAAATATTTGTTTCTTTATGAAATAAATTCCAGTAATACGTTCTTTATGCGATCATCAACGATATTTTTAAAATCTTGAAATTTATAGACATGTATGTTTTCTTACCATCATTTGACTGTAGTTGGGTCTATCATAATTTCTAATACTTTGGATGGTGATTTAAAGTAAAAATAACCAAATTTCATTACATTAGATAACAATTTTTAATTAATATAACTTTATGAGACACATTTATTTATCCTTGATTCAAACCATCTCAGTGGAAATGTAACGATTTTTCATGATGATAGTTCCTTGTTTGTATTAATTTTGGAGTTTCATATTTACTGAAAATAAAAAAACAATAAATTAAAAGACCTGAAAAACAAAAGTATATTCAAAGTTATTATTTTATGAAATTCATTTTAAAATGTATCTTTAATAACTAATCAATGGTAATCCTTATATATTCATTGATAAATTAAAACAATGTTCAATTTTCTTTCTTTCATTATTATAAATTACTAACAATTAAATTTCAGTTAAATAATAATCTTAATATGGCAATCAATAATTAATATTTTCATCAATTTTCCAGTAAATGAAATTTAAAATTGTAAAACTCTACTAAACATAAAAATTCAATCTAAAAATGATAAATATTTTTAAACATGAATTCTTTCAATGAAACAGTAATTTTCAGTTTACAAAATTTATAAATTATCTTTACCCATATCCGATTGCATAAAAAGGGAGAAAGCCTCGTATTTTCTGCTTACCGAGTGCTTTGCTTTAACATGAGCAAGATTGGGAGTCTTCGGAATGACCCTGATCGATCGGGATTCAGTGCATGGTATTACTAGACTAAAGAAGTTGCTAACCTTCTATAGAAAGGGTGGCATTTTGGACGTTCTCTAGAGCGGTCTGGTGGGCTAAATGCTTGGACGCCCACGAGCGCGCCTCCCTTCAATATCAATACCAATATCCATAACCGATAAAAATCATTTTAAACGAATTATAGTGATTCTTGACAATGAAACTTTTAAAAGTTGTGTAATATCAATATATACTTTATAATTTATCTTGTTCATATTCTATATAATTCCATTTTAGGGTAAATTGTGGAATCTTTCTATAACTGAAAAATAAATAGAGGTTAGAAACAGTAATATAAACAATAAGTTTAAACATTACATACCTTTCATTTATTATAGAATATATTAGTTTCTATTTGAAAAACAATCTTCGAGATATATTCTTTATACAATAGAAGATATCTTTCCAAAATTTTCTATGGTTAGTGTTTGCAAATTGACGTTTTACCATAGATGTATCTCTTATAGATTCTTTATGTATTCTAAGGTTATAAGAATGCATTGAATAATCTCTCAACTATTAATGACATCACAAATCCTCAACATGCCTCAAGAGTAATAGAAACACACATACTCATTGCGACCTAATAATAAAAAATATTTGTAAAAATTAGGCTTATGTTAGTCTTTTTTTTATTCTAATGTAAAATGTATATGTAACTTTTTTTTCACTTCCGATTCAACAGGTTTTGTTCTAGTTGTTGTTGTTGTTGTTGTTTGGAGGAGTGTGTGTGTGTGTCTAAATAAAAAAAACTCTAAAGATTTTTTTTTATTTACATCAACATCGATAATATTTTTAAAATTAAAAAAACTATGGGATTGATGCGGGCAGAGAGGACGCTAAACTTGCAAAATGTTTAAGTTTTTTTCTGCATTCGTCGGAGTGAAGGCGCGCCACTTGTAACTCGCTCTGCAGCAGGGCAATTTTAGTTTCAGTCTCTTTGATCCGGTCCTCGTTTCGCACCAGCTGCGACTCTAAAACCATTTTCAACTGGAACGCTTCGCATACCACCCTTCTTTTTTCGTCGTCGATAAACGTATCGAACCAACCGGAGGAGGAGGAGGATGAGCCGGTATGCTGCTGCTGCTGAACCGTTTCTTCCCTTTTTCTTTTTTTTTGTGAGGCTTTGGCGGTGTCGTCGCACTACGACGCCGTTTTGACGGTTTTCTTACTTGTTGTTGTTGCACTTCCGGTGGTGGTGGTGGCGGCGGCGGTGATGACGGTGGTGGTGGCGGCGGCGGCGTATAATGTATGTCGTAGCTCGTTAAAAATTCGTACAACTCTTCGGGGGGGAGCGATATTTGCTGCTGCTCCATGATGCGCGCCCCGACACAACTGTTACATCGACACTGAGACTTATAATACATTCGCGTCGTCAATCCACGAATCGTGCGACTTGTCCAATCCCAACCAGCGTACCAAAACCCTTTTACCGCGCCTGCGCAGAACCTTTTCAACGAGATAGACGTCAGGATTGGCCGTTTTTTGCAATTCTTCTTCGTAAAATCCTCCCATTATAGGTTTACCACGTGTTTGGCTTTACTAATTCTAACCCACGTCACCCACTTTCAATTTCCTAGCTCAGAATATTTTCAGGTGACTGAAAGCGCTCTTCAAAAGTGAATCGGCGTTACTTTTATTCACCGCATTAGGTTTCATTCCCGTCGTTCTGTGTTTCTTGTTGTTGTATTGTTGAACGACAGAGGGCAGCACGTCTGTCCAGCGGTACGCAATGCAATTTTTCTTTGAGTCTCCTTATTTCCCGTTCGACTATCGCAGCCTTTTTTTACTGTACGTACTATAATGATTAATTTCGTGCTTGACCATGAGCTTCTCAAAATTGCCATTATAAAATTCCTTGCCCAGATCCATTTGCAGGTTTTTTGGTTGTCGATCCCGTGCCTCTTTTAGAATTTTGGCGAAGGCCTTGGTCACATCACTCCCCGTTTTTCTTTTTAACGGTTCGCACCACACGTATTTTGAAAAAAAAATCGATAGCTGGGCCAAATCGGCCTGCCACCACGCATATGGATGCAATTTTTGCCGGAATTCGAAATCGCAATTTTTGTCCAACAAGACGCAGTTATTTTGTTCTGAAATATTGTCACGTGATTCCTAGGACAGCCATAACGATTCGGAAGAGCGTGCGCATTGGAAGGAGCCGCTATTGAAGTTTCGTGATGCGGTGGCGTGTTAATATAATTTTTTTTTTCAGTTTAATGTACTGATGGTACGTGATAGCTGTGAGGGGTAATAAAAATCAAGAATGTAATCAAGTATTGCTTCAATTAAAATCTAGAAATCTTTGTAAAATAGAAATATAAAAATGCGAAATTCCGTTGTAACGGTTTCGTCCGTTTGGCGCGTTTTCCATCCCCTCCCTTCGTGTAAATTTGGCACCCATTAGGTCCACAATAAAAAGAGCTGAGTCAGAAACGTCTCATTTTTACGCGTCGTTTCGAAGGTGTTAAATAAATTTTGTAAAAGTAATCTAACAGAAATGCCTTCTGCTAACGATAAGTCTCTCGTGATCAAATACACCAAAGCGATTCCAGAAGCGTATCCTCCAAGCAAAGGATCAATAAAGGCGGCAGGATATGACTTAAAAAGTGCTCTGGATTGTGTGGTACCGGCACGAGACAAAGCTCTGGTCGACACGGGCCTTAAAATCGAATTACCGGAAGGCTGTTATGGAAGAATCGCACCCAGATCTGGATTAGCTGTGAAGAATTTTATTGACGTTGGAGGTATATACTTAGAAGTTGTTTCTGAAGACGCGACGAGTAAAACGTGCATTTTTTAGCCGGCGTCGTAGATGAGGATTATAGGGGCGTTTTAAAGGTAGTTTTATTTAACCACTCCGACTCAGATTTCGATATTAAAAGTGGGGATAGAATTGCCCAACTCATATGCGAAAAAATTTACTATCCTGATTTGGAGGAAGTACAGGTGAGTAAATGATTTTTCCCAAGTTTGGCATTAGTTGCTTTTCATTATTTTAGGCATTAGGGGACACTGTTAGAGGTGAAGGTGGATTTGGATCTACTTGAACTAAATAATGTGACTTTTTTTTTTGGTAAATGCTTCCTAAATTTGGGTGTTTTTGTACTAGAAAAACAGTTTTTGATAGTATTATTCTCCTTCACTGTTTTTCACTTGATAGTATTAATTATGTGTTCAAATATTTAATTTATGTTTAACCAAATATATAATTTAGTAACAGCGAAGTATTTTTTTTTAAATTAGACTTTAAGCTATATAGGTTGTAAAGGGGGTACATACAGCAGCAAAAAATTACTTTAATAACACACTTATTGAGTAAAACAGCTCAACAAAATTATTAACCTAGGAGGCCAACGCATCTGCCTCCCGGACAAAACGTGTATGTCAACGTGATAAACAGACTGAGCGCCCACAGGCCCATCATTAATAACAATTCGAAACCCTTGATCCAACTTCCTCGTTGCAGCTATTTTTCTTGCTACAATTAGCAAATGACCTAATAGCAGTTCGTATTCGTCGGCGGCTTTGGATAACTGAGGTATTGGTTTCCGAGGAATAACCAAATAGTGTTAAGGATTTACATCGTCGAAAGCCACACATTGAAAACAAGTCAGTTGGACGAGGTTTGAACATTTTAGGGTATACCCGCCAGGTCGTCTTCGTATATAAAGTTGCAAGGGATTTCTTTTCTCAATATTTTTCCGAAAATTGTGCCCTCACCCGGTCGAGCATTTTGTGCCAGAGCAACCTCGTCCGACATCTTTATGAACTAACGTTTTGTCACATGTGCCTCTGGCCCATAGGCGCAAAAGGAGCGCTGTCACCCAGCCGACGAGTTTTTGCGAGTTGAAACTCGTCGGCTGGGTGACATCATCGTCCACCGCGTGGTCGCGTCCCCGGTGTGCGGCAGCGGCTGCATGACATCATCGCTTTGCGAAATGTTTAAACGAAACCTTGGCGGGTGAGATCATCGCGTCGCCTGCCTTCGCCGCAAAAAATGCTTAAAACAAATTAATTAGCCACTCGGTCCGATTAGTAATCCACACATCCTTCGGCACAGGAAATACGAAACGTTGATATTATTACCGCATGCGTTTCCTTCGCCGCCGGATTTTTTTTTTTTTAAATAATTTTCCACACATAACGTGGCCGGATGAGTACCCCGCGCGCGTGTGTTTCCGTCAGAAACTGATTAGAAATTAAAAAAACAATAAGTAGAATATGTATATTTTATTGACCGAGACGTATATAGTGGAAAGACTCTAAAGCATTGAACAAGTTCATTTTATGAGACACGAGTTTTTCTATTTCCTCGCGCTCAAGGTATATTTCGATTAACGGATTGAATTTTTTCAGCGTTAAGTCACACCGTTCTTCTTCGTGCCAATAAGCCGCTTGCATGCAATCTCCTATTGGGAAGATGACGTCGTTCCATTTTAGATTTCCAATTTCCTCGTCAATAAAATATAAAAACTCCAAAAATGCCTCGTGGGTAAAGTCTAGTCGCTGCTGTCCATTAACATACAGGCGTACTTGTGCGCAATCCATCTCGACATATATATGTTCATCGATCGTTACTGTAGTATCCGGAATACGCGTAGGCGTAATTCTTCTGTGATTATTAAATGTTGCATCCCAATCACCGCCCATCGTTGTTGTTGTTGTTGTTCAGTCAACTAACACACACACAAAACTTACATTGTTTTTTATAACTTATACATTTCATCCCCTCCTATCGTCGAAATTGGACGGCACATTGAGTTTTAGTTATCTTGACCAAACACTTTGATAGCAAAAGTAGCGAACTGGACTCGATCAGGTATAACAAAATGAAAATAGTTTGTTTTTGATTCGGGGAAAAGTGCTTGTCATCGTCGTCACCACTGCTATAGAGGCTTCTGAAGTTGTTTTTTGTTTAAAGAGTCATTGCTGCTGCTGCTACTTTTGGTTAGTTAGTTAGTTAGTTAGCACTCATTGGCAGTTCAGTCTCAAAGAGGTTGCGGTCCATCGCCGCCAGATGCATCTGCGTCCAGGTGTCCGGCCATGAACAGGAAAAATTACTATTATCGGCGTTTTTGAAACACACATATGCTTCAATTACCCCGCTGGGTTTGTGAATATAAAACATATTTTGCACTAATGTGGACAACAAAATAAACTTGGCGTTTAGCGTAGCCATCGCGTTCTCGAATGATACTGATCACCACGTCGTCAGCGCTTTTTTATAGCGCTCAAACAATGAAAACACCGATTTTGCGAGGGAGCCGGTCCGTCGATATGGGTTCTGCTGTCAGGCCGGTTGTAATGCACAAAACACGGCAGATGAGTTTGTAGTTCAAAATTACATTGATGTTTTCCCGGTAATTTGTGCCACATATTTAACAATTCGTAGGGTCTCACCCGTTCTATGAGGTATTGTGCCGGGAGCACTTTCAGGTCTTCGCTGTTCAAGTTCGTCGGATGGCTCAACAGTATTTTATCCATCGTGGTCACCCCCTAGTCGTCAGTTTCATTAACAAATTTTTAATCTGTTGAAACACGCTCTCGCGTGGTCGCGTTGATCAATTTATTTTGTTTGTTTTGTTTTTGAAAAAATATAAATGTCCGTTGGTGTAGCGAAACACGCTGTTCACGCCTTGCGGAATCGGGCCAAACAATTCGTTTACAAAGCCGTGACCTTTCGGACGCAAACTGCACTCGTCCAATTCGTTGAAATAATTATCATCGTAAAGGATGAAAGTTCTGCCGGAGTATGTGCTGAAAATTGCGTTAATTTTTTTATCTTGCGGAACGCCCAGGCTCACAATGTCCGCTTTACGTTCTATCCTAAAACTAGGAAAATCCACCACATAAAATAAATTGTCCGCAATGGCCACGAGTTGTCCGTTGTGTCTTTGATAGATGTGGGAAATTTTGTCCATGGGAACGTACTCGGCTATTCGTTTTGGTTCGGTGTAGGTTCTATCACCTAGGCGTAGTATCCAGCACCATTTATCGTAAAACACGTATATATGATGGTTCAAAGTGATTAGAAAATTATCCGGAAGTATATTACACAAGTCTGGTGGTGGTGACAAAGTAACTTTTGTTGTTGTTTTTGTGTCGCTTTTCGATGTAGTTGTCGTCGATGGCGACACTGATATGGTCGTTTTGTCTCCATACAAACGTTGAATTCCCATAATGTCATCGAGTCCCAATGTATTTACGCTCCCATAAAATGGATACATAATGGACGTGGGATCATTACTATGCCCTAGGCCGAGGGTATGCCCGATTTCGTGTAATAGCACGGTATACAAACTAGTTTGTGGTGCGGGCGCAGGCACATCGTTCCCAAAATACCAGTTTTCGTCTTTATCCAAATGGATTTCCACACACTTTTGATTTGTATTGGGAAAAAATGCGTGACCCAAAACTTGACCTTTTCCGTCAAATTTATAACTACATGATCCGTTGCCTTGACATCTTACGCTTTGTTTATGTTCGTACGATTTATCGGTGATTAGAATCAGAATATCGGGCTTCATGTAATTGTAAGCGAATTCTAAATTGGAAACGGAACTCCAAATTTTGAAAACTTGGTTGGCAATCGTCCGTAATCGAATCCTTTGCCAGGGTGCCGACGCTTGAACATACCAATTTAAGGTCGTTTTATTCCATACCGCATTGGCGGTTGTGAAAGCATTTTCTTCTATTCCGCAGCGGGGGCTTTTAATTAGCGCTATGGTCTCATTGTTTAGAGTACCGTCCATTGGTAGATTGTACAATTCCTGAAAATCCATTAACGCTTGCTCTAAACTGACCGGATCGATCTGAATGAGAGACACGTCGTCGTCGTCGTCGCCCCCGCTATTCACCGGCAGAAAGCCATATTTTTGTAAATAATCAGAGAGTTCCTGGTCTGTTAGCGTCGTGTCGTCTTCAGTTGTCGAGCACATAGCAAGGATAGCGTAGAGAAGAAGAAGTGAACAAAAACCCACAACCCTCATCTCTCTCTCAATCAAAAGTAACTGCAGTACTAAATATTCACCGATCATAACTGGCGTTTTTATAAAGGGACGTGAGAGATGATTTTTTTTTAATTCATATTTACGTGTATGTTTTTTTAATAATACATGTTGCGCAGATCAAAATAAAACGACAAAGTTTTTTTTGAAAAAAAATATTTTAATTTTTTTTATACAATAATGGGTATACTGGCGTATACCCATGAATATAATTCGAAAATATTATTTAGGACGCACATCCGTCACCGTCCACCCTTGTGAAACATGCAGTTAGGCCTCGCCTTCTTCTCAAACTTTGGAGGGGGAGGTACAGTTGCGGCGGGCTGGGGGCTGGTGCTGGTGGCGACGTGGCTGTCTCGTCGTCCGCCGTCATCAAACTGTTCCACGTTAATAATGGTGGGCTTCCACGCCGACGACTCCAGCCTCTTGGCCAGAAAGTCCGCCTTTACCTGTCCCCTCAGGTAAATGATGTCGGCCTGTGCGCTAATATGATTTATCACGTCGTCCACCCTCGCATAGTCGACAAATCCCCCGGTGTATATCAATCCATGGAGGCGATCCTCCAACCTCTGTACCCCCCGCTTGTCGGCGGAGGACAGCCGCCCATATTGCTTTGGAGGCTTGAAAATGAAATGGCAGCTTTGACTGCCATTACATGCCGCCAACTCCTTGACGACGAAGCCCTCGCCGCCGTCTTGCAGCTGGAATCCCAGCATGTCGACCACCACGAACCGCATTTTTACCACAAAATATTTTGACTGCACAAACTTTGTACCACGAACTGCGCCGCTCGAGCAAATTTGCCTCGTATTTATTACGACAACGTTCGGACTATTTCTTCTATAACGGAGGCAGTGTATGTCCTAAATCCTTGTTTTTTTGTCCGCTGGTGGTGATGACGATGACGGTGATGGCATAACTTCGTCGCAATATAAACTTATATTGTTCGAACGACTTGTTAATTCCGAACAATATTTTATATTATATTTTGGATGATTTTTAATGGATTCTTCACAAAAGCAAAAAGATTTATTACAGCTATTACAGTACTTGGTACCGTGATAGTAGACTTTTGAGTTTTCCGAAACATCTCGTTTCACTTTTCCTTTGGCGGCTTGAAAATGAAATTGCAGCTTTGACTGTCATTACATGCCGCCAACTCCTTGACGACGAAGCCCTCGTCGCCGTCTTGCAGCTGGAATCCCTGCATGTTTACCACAAAATGTTTTGACTGCACAAACTTTGTAGCACGAACTGCGCCTCTCGATCAAATTTGCCTCGTATTTATTACGAAAACGTTCGGACAATTTCGCTAAGCGGCCTGTGTTCCACGATGCAATCGTGAATGATGACGCAATAGGCGCGCGTATTTGCAGGAAATCCGTTTTTAGCCTCGATATCTAACTTAACGTCGACCGTGCTGGATTTCAGACTGTCGTTTCTTCTAGAACAATCGAAATTTTAATTTTCCTAATATTTCTTTTTCAATGTAAAATTTTCCATTTATTTCTCTCAATGAAAATTTAAAAATTATTATATATTCCTAGGGGGACAATAAATCACTACCGACAACTTAGTTATGAAGAAATATCATTCATCAAATATGAAAAAAAAGAAATGAAATAAAAGAAAACTATAAAGAATAAAATATCGTTTATTTAAAGAAAAATAATTCAAGTGAATATCACATGTGATATTAAAAATATTCATTACTACATAAATTACTTCCCTTCCTAAAGTATTATAATTAAGGAAAAAGTAAAAGAAACAATAATAATGCGGATAAGTACAGATTATTTTTAAATATATTTTTCGATTATGACATATTTTAATTCTAACGTGAAATTTGTGACGTCATTGACAGTTGCGACGTTATCCAATACGGTTCTGCAGTGCCCATCCGAATTTGAATCTATGGTAGATACAACCACATTCGAACACGAAGAAGAGACGTAGAGATGATTCTGTGGTGGAGCATTGCAAGCGGCGGTTTAACCTCCGTTCGCTCCTTGTTCACTTGACGAAAAGCCAAAATTAAATTTTGAGCGTCCTCAATAGTTCGCGTAAAATTCATTGCGATCTAATAATAATAATAATAATAATAATAATAATAATAATAATATTTGAAAAAATAAGACTTACCGTCTCTCTCTCTCTCTCTCTCCCCCGTAGTTTTTAATTTTGAACAATTTCAAATTGTTGAGCGGGCCAATTGCCGACTTCTTTAACGCCCCGATACACCAGACTGTAGCGGCCCGTCGAAAATTGGTCTATATTCGGCCGGAAGCTGTCCGTCACCCGGTTCGGCAGGAACACCACCGATAATTCTAACTCCAATAGAACCGCCTCCCCAAACTGGGTCTTTACTATTCTGGCCTTGTCTATCTTGTATGGTCGACCAACGTCTAACTGCCCCAACTTAACTATTGGTTTTTGATTCTCTTTATTCGCTGCAATTTTTTCATTTAATGCTTTTAAGTCCATCTATAACGAAAGTAGAATCCTTCAGTCCAATATTGACAATTTTTTCAAGAAACAAAAAATAGTACTTACTTTTGGCGTTGGTTTGGGAGGGTGCGGTGGCGCGGCTAACACTGAGATAACACGGATCGTTTGGTCAATTAAGCGACTTGATCACACACACACAACTCAAGCGGTATTTAAATGATGACAAACAATCGAAACCTTTTATATACTGTATTCCGACAGCGGAAAGTCTCGTTTAAAACATTTTTTGGCGGCGAAGGCAGGCGACGCGACGATCTCACCCGCCAAGGTTTCGTTTAAACATTTCGCAAAGCGATGACGTCATGCATCCGCTGCCGCACACCGGCGACGCGGCGGGCGATCCAGTCGTCAAACGCGACGGCGGCGGTACGCCATCGCACACAATCGCGCTGCAATTTACATTCATTTTTGCGAATAAGCAATATCGTGTTCCCTACACGCCGCGTCCAAAGGATTCACGCCGCTATCGCCGCGACTAAGCCGTTTTTTCAATTTCGTCCCCGGTCCGCAAAATTGATAACCGGGAAGGTGTAGTTCGAAAGGTAACTTATTTATCAGCGTGTTAACGAGGCCGCTTCCGGACGCAAAGTATAACATACTGACAAAATAAAATTACGGAGTGCCTATACATATATATATATATATATATATATATATATATATATATATATATATATATATATATATATATATATATATATATACAGGGGGGTGGAGGTGGTTGAAGTAATGCCGCACTCTCCCTCATCGAAAATTTAGATTCTGGTTTCGTTTAAAGATTTTTTTTTTTTGGCGGGAACAAGAACATCATTTTCTTTAATTAAACTTGGACACGTGGGGGGCGCCTCGCGGTGACGCAGCCGCTGATAGGAATAATGTCGAGAGAGCGCGCGCGACATCTAGCAGCAACGGGACGAAACCGACGGTACATAATTAGCTCGGCATTAAAGTGACCGTTCAACGACGGACGGGTTTTCTGTCGAGAGCGCGCGCGCGACATCTAGCGGCAACGGGACGGAACGGACGGTACATAATTAGCTCGGCATTAAAGTGACCGTTCAACGACGGAGTGCCCGCCCCCGGGGACTCTACCAGGGGGTACCCCCCCCGGGGGCGACGCACCACGGACAACGGTGGGGCACCCACGGGACAACGATTTGGTCGGCACCACGGACGACGGTTAGTTTGGCGGCACCACGGACGACGGTTTGGGTAGGGCGGGGGGGCGGGGACTCTACCAGCGGGGGCTACGCCCCCCACCTCTACCAGCGGCAGCCCCACCTCTACCAGCGGAGGCTACGCCCGGGGGCCCCCCCGCGGGGCGAACGGTTGGCACCCACGGACCCCCCCACGGTTGGCACCACTGACAACGGTTGGCACCCACGGACAACGGTTTGGTTGGAACCACGGACCACAATTTGGTTAGGTCGGTACCACGGACGACGGTTTGGTTAGGCCGAGCGGCCAATGGGCGAGTGACCTTAAACGAGCGGCCAATGGCCGAACGGCCAGACACACAAAAGAAGAAGACCTATGGGGCGAGTGGCCCCATGGCCGAGTAGCCTATGGGCGAGGGGCCTATGGACGAGTGGCCTACGGGCGGCAAAAGATGGCCGGGAAGCCCGTGGCCGAGTGGCCAAAAAGTGAGGTTAGGAGTCCCTGGAAGTCCCTTTATCCATCTACTATTATAGCCAAAACATGCATTTTCATAACTTAGCGAACTGAAATCTACATTAAAACTGCAGATAACTACTTAAAAATTCACTTCCTTGAATTGATAATAGGTTTTTCTTTGTCATTTTAAACAGATTCCAGTCAAAATCGGCTTCTTCGATTCATATCGTATCTAAAACCGCATCAAAACTGCAAATATCAGTTTAAACTATCATTTTTTGATACAAACAGTTATATATTCATGTCAATATCTTTCAAATTCTAGTCAAAATCGGCGTCTTTGGGCATTTTAGTAACGAAAACCTTAATAAACTATTAGATTTCGACGTAAGGCAACCATTCTGAGTCAAATAATTGCCGATTTCGATAAAATCTTAGTCAGAATCTGCTTTTTCGCCTCTTATTGTACCCAAATCTACCTTAGAAATGCAGATATAGACTTAAAACACCTTCCTTTGGGACAAATAATTGGTTTTCGCCCTTGATTTACGGAAGATTATAGCCAAAACATGCATTTTCATAACTTAGCGAACTGAAATCTACATTAAAACTGCAGATAACTACATAAAAATTCACTTCCTTGAATTGATAATAGGTTTTTTTTTGTCATTTTAAACAGATTCCAGTCAAAATCGGCTTCTTCGACTCATATCGTACCTAAAACCGCATCAAAACTGCAAATATCAGATTAAACTATCATTTTTTGATACAAACAGTTATATATTCATGTTATATATTCAGGTACGATA